CTCGCTGCCCTTCGCGGCCCCGGTGCTGCCCTCAGCGGCCCCGTCGCTGCCCTCTGTGGCCTCGGATTTTGTGCCCTTCGTGGCCCAGACTGGCTTTTCTCACGATTTACGTAGGAATCGCGCTATCGCTCTAGATTTCTTCGCGATTCATGCAGGACCCACGCTTCAGCTTCAGCAACCCGCCTGGTCGACCTCGTTGCCTGGGCCCGCCTTCCCGACCTGCCCGCTATGGGTCTGTCCACCCGATCTGCCCGTCTGGTTCTACCACTTGTTTTCTGCTCCTTGCCCCCCTCCTACTTTCTCTCGTGCTTGATGTGTGCCCCTCTTGTTTTTACCCGTCCTTTCTTCCCCTGTTTTAGGGGCTGCACTAAACACACGCGGCAGGCAAGGAAGGTACATCCCCAAGGGGGCACGATCGAAGACGACGAGGGCGGGTACCGAGGGTTTGGGATACACGTATTGGTTAGCACGTGAGCAGATGGGAGCGAACAGTCTTAAAATGATTGTGGAACTTTTATTTCTGAAGAACAATTATTGTAGATCCCCCCTCGCCGGTGCATGCTGTTTTCCTCAATCAAAGTGTGCCCCTCGACGCTCGCACTTGGTTTTTTGACAAGGAAAGTCTTCGTGCTCAAACTGTGCCCCTGGCCCCCCGGATTACAACAACGGCTCGACTTCCTCCAAATTTACTAAGGACCCCCGCTCCTGAGACTTCCTCACAATTTACTCAGGATCGGTGCTCCCGCCTGTGACTTCCTCGCAATTTAGTCAAGACCCTCGGTCTCATTTGAGACTTCCTCACAATTTACTCAGGAAAGGCGCTCCCGCTTGAGACTTCCTCGCAATTGAGTCAAGGGTTCCTTGCAATTTAATCAAGACCCCCGCTCCCGCTAGAGAACCCCTCACATTGTATTCAGGAATTGCGCTTTCGCCTGTGACTTCCATGCAAGTTATTCAGAAATCTCGCTTTCGACGCTCAGGAAGCACGCTGGGCCAAGGACGCCGTTACAATTTACTTAGTAATCGCGTTCTCGCCATACTGAGGCATCCCGCTTGAATGTCCCACCCGCCCGACCCGCCCGTCAGGGGATCGCCCGCCCGTCGTGGGCTCCCGCCCGAGACTTCCTTCAGGAACGGCGCTTTCGCATAGGAATTCCTCGAACGTTCACGCTCATACCTTCCTGCTCCTCCTCCCTCTCCCGCCTCCCTCCTCTCCTCCCTTCGTCTCTCCCTCCTCTCTTCCCTCTCCTTATGCCTCTCTGCCCTATCCCCTTTCCCTCCTCGCCCTCCTCCCTTCTCCCTCCCCTCTCTCCTGCCTCCTCCCTCCCCCTCTCTTTCTTTTTTTTTCCTCTCTCTCTCTCTCACCCCTCTTTTTTTGTTTCTCTCTCTCTCTCTCTCTTTTCCCCTACCTCTTTTATATGTCTCTCTCGCTCGCTCTCTCTCTCTCTCTCTCTCTCTCTCTTTCTGCCTCTAATCAACCGGCCCCCTCTGGGCTCCTTCTCTTCTGGCGTTTTCCCTCTTCCTTCGTTCCTCCCCCTCCCTTCCTCCCATTCTTTCTCGTTCTCCCCCTCCTCTTTTTGCAGGGCCCACACCGATCCCAATGGCGGCCACATGTACGCCCACGAAGGATTATCCGCCCGTTCAGGTTCGCCCGCCTGTCTAAGCCCGCCGCCTCCCGCAAAGAGAAATAATCCCTCAAAGGGGGTGTGATCGAAGACAAAGGGCGGGTATCGAGGGTGTGGGGAACTCGTTTTGAATGACACACGGGCAAGTAAGAGCGAACAGTCTTAGAATGATTGTTGTTGTTGCTGCTGTTGCTGTTGTTGCTGTTGTTGTTGTTGCTGCTGTTGTTGTTGAGTGTTAATTACTGAACAATTATCCCCCAGGCGCCCTGGCGCACTCGCCTCGGCGCCGGCGACATTTTTATTGAAAATGAAGCTCACGCTCGAGCGGTTTTGTGGGGGGCGCCAAAACGGGCCCCCCAACAACAACAACGCTCCCGCTCGAGAGTTCTTTCCTTTCCACTTAGGGCCGGTGCTCTTGCTCGCCGCCGAAAGCCGGCGTCCCAACAAAACCAGAGCTCCCACTCGAGACTCCTTTCCGTTTCACTTTGGGCTGGCGCCCTACTCTTTCTCTCATTGGATTGGCGCCGCACCCAGCAACAACAATGTTCCCGCTCGAGACGTCCTCACGTTTCTATTCGAGGCGGTGCTCCTACTCGCCGCCGAAAACCGCCGCCCCGACAAAACAAGAGGTCCCGCCCGAGACTCCCTCCCGTTTTACTTGGACTGGCGCCCTACTGTGTTTTGACTTGGCGCCGCCCCCAGCAGGAACAACGCTCCCGCTCGAGCCTCCCTTTTTTTTTTGTCCTCCGGATGGTGCTGTTCCTCGCCGCCGACAGCACCCGTGCCGACAAAAACCACGGCTCCCGCTCGAGCCCCCCCCCCCCATTTTTACTCAAGGCGGTGCTCGTCCTCGCTGCGGAAAATCGCCGCTCCGACAAAACCAGCGCTCCCGCCCGAGGCCCCCCTCTTTTTGTTACGCTGGACTAGCGCCCTACTCTCGTCAGCATTGGCGCCGCTCCCAGCAACAACGGCGGCCCTGCTCGAGACGTCCTCTCTTTCTATTCAAGGCCAGGCCCTTGCCTCGCCGCCGACAGCCCCCATCCCCACCGAGGCAATCCTGTCGCTCGATGCTTCTTTGTGCTTTACCCTTGGCTGGGGCTCCACTGGCGGTCTCACATCGGTGCAGCAAGGCGAAGGCATGTGTTTTCGAGGCGGGATGGGTTGAAATTCCTCATTGGACGGGAGATCTGTGAATGGGAAAATGGACCCCGCTATAAAACATTAGTTCACCATGGTGCGGAGTATGATCATGATGGTCGCATTTGTCTTCGTGTGGCAACTTCGCGCATGAGGGTGAAATTATTGTTGTTGTTGCCAACGAATGTAAATTTCTCAGCAATTATCAGTATTATTATTACTATTATTATTATTCTTATTATTATTATTATTATTATTTTCATCATGATTCTTGGACCCCCCAGGCGCTTTGGCGGTCTCGCCTCGGCGCCGGTTACATTGTCGTCTAAAATGAAGCTCGCGCTCGAGCGTTGTGGGGGGGCGCCAAAACCGGCTCCCCAACAACAACAACAACAACGCTCCCGCTCGAGACTTCCTCCTTTCTTACTCAGGGCCCGTGCTCTTGCTCGCCGCCGAAAGCCGGCGTCCCAACAAATCCAGTGCTCCCACTCGAGATTTCCTCCCGTCTTACTTTGGACTGGTGCACTACTCCATCGGCGCCGCCCCCAGCAACAGCAACGCCCCCGCTCGAGACACCCTCCTTTTTTTTTTACTCAAGGCGGTGCTCCTCCTCGCCGCCGAAAAACCGCCGTCCCAACAAAACCAACGCTCCCGCCCGAGACTCCCTCTTGTTTTACTTGGACTGGCGCCCTGCTCTCTTTTGAATTGGCGCCGCTCCCAGCAAGAACAACGCTCCCGCTCGAGGCTTCCGACCGTCTTGCTCAAGGAGGTGTTCCTCCTCGCCGCCGACAGCCGCCGTCCCGACGAAACCAGCGCTCCCGCTCGAGACTTCGTTCTGTTTTAAGCTGGACTAGCGCCCTACTCTCTTCAGCATTGGCGCCGCTCACAGCAACAACGGCGGCCCTGCTCGAGACTCCCTCTCTTTCTATTCAAGGCCAGGCCCTTGCCTCGCCGCCGACAGCCCCCATCCCCACCGAGGCAATCCTGTCGCTCGATACTTCCTTGTGCTTTACCCTTGGCTGGGGCTCCACTGGTGATCTCGCATCGGCGCAGCAAGGCGCGGGTATGTGTTAACGAGGCGGGATAGGTTGAAATTCTTCGGAGGTGGTGTTTGCAAGACCTCGTTGGGCGGGTGATCCCGGAATGGGAATCACGCACCCCGCTAGAAAGCAAGAGTCCCCCATGAAGGGGATGGTTATCGTGATTGTCGCATTTTACGCGTGGAAAGGAGGGTAACATGTTTGTTGTTGTTGTTGTTGTTGTTGTTGTTCTTGTGGGTGGTGCTGTTGTTGTTGTTGTTGTTGTTGATGATGTTGTTGTTGTTGCTGTTGCTGTTTTTGTTGTTGTTGCTGTTGTTGTTGTCGTGTTTGGTTGTGGGTGTGGTTGTCGTTCTGGTTGTTGCTGTTCTCGCGAGAGATGTCACTGCGAATAATGCAGGTGTCAAGCTTCAGCAGCCCGCATGCTCGAGCTGGCAGCATGGGCCTGCCTTGCCGTCCCGCCTAGAGTTGACCCTTCCGATTTGCCTGTTTGGTTATGCCACGTGTTTTTGGCTCCCAGACCCCTGGCTAATCTCTCTCCTGCTCCATCCTTCTCCCTCTTCCCTTCCATCCGTCCTCTCTGCCCCTGGTTTATTTGGGGCTGCGCTGAATACACGTGGCAGCTAAGGAAGATACACCTCCATGGGGGCACGATCGAAGATGAAACAATGCGGGTGCCGAGGGTTTTGGGGGCGCACGTGCTGAATAGCACGCGAGCAGATAGGAGCAAGCAGTCTTACACTTGTTGTTGCTGCTGCTGCTGTTGTTGTTGCTGTTGTTGTTGTTGAAGTTGTTGTTGTAGTTGCAAGCCGTGGGCTGCTAGGGGCACAGCTTGAGCCCCACGATTTTCCCCTTTTACCGAAACCAGGGTGCGAGATCCAGGGGAGGCACTTGAATCGAACATCACAGCGGACACCGGGGAGGGCTGATGAACATTAATTTTTACCTTATCAGAACGAAGGAGAAGTCAACAACGTAACAATCCATGGAATACGACTTGGGCCGCGCAGCCAGGGACAGAGAATGACCCTTTGGCCACATCACTTTGATGTTCCTCGCACGTGCGTGGAGGACGGCGTCCACAAGTAGCTCCAAAAGGGGCCCGAATGTGCCCTTTGAGGGCCCTTTTCTTCAGCCCCCCATTTAGGCCACCCCCCCTTTATAGCCACCCACCCGAGATGTTCCTCGCCCGTGCGCGGAGGACGACGTCCACAGAAAGGGGCAGGGCGCAGCGGAGGCGCCTCCCGAGAAGAAAGGCTGGTGCGCGCCCTGCGGCTGCTCCTCGGGCAAGGCCGCGGCGGAGCCCGGCCGCAGGTGAGACCTCTCGCGGGGAGCCGCTCTGCCGGGCGCCGCGCCTCAAAGCGGGCTCGGTGCCCGCGGCAGAGCGGCGGCTGGCGCCGCGGAGCCCTGCCACAAGCGCGCTCCGCGGCCCCGGCCGGCCTACGCCAACATCCAGGCCTCCCAGATGGGGTCGGAGTAGATCGGGCCGGAGGATCGCGCTGCATCGCCGACCCATCGGCGATGCATTGGCGATGCGGCTCGATGAGGGGCACTATTTTCCCCACGCCGACGTCTCCGATTCATCGTCGACGTCGCCGGTGCATCGCTGATGCATCGCCGATGTATCGCCGATGCATCGCCGAGCGATGCGGCGAGTTTCTCCGACCCCATCTACTCAGACCCCATCTAGGAGGCCTCTAGAACAGTCGAGGGAGAAGAAGCAGTGGCATAAGCACCAGCTTTTGGGTGGTCCGCGCCGGGGGCGGTGCCGGAGGCACCGCCAGGGGCTTCCAGCGCCGATCAAGGCAAGCCGCGCGGTCTTCCGAAATTGTATGTTTATCTTGCTCTTCCTCGGAGCAAGCGGGCCCGCGGCGAGTGGCCGATGTGCAGGTGGCGCGCTGTAGCGCAACGTGCGCCCCAGGGGCACAGCGGCGGCTGGCGCGCGCGTGCTGACCTCGGGTGCGGCACACGGCTTTGGGCCTCGCCGCGCCAGGGGGATGCGGCTGGAACATGCCGCCAGTCTGCACGCGGCGTGCGCGCTCGGAGTCATGGTCGGCCGAACAGGGCATGCTGCAGGCTGTGCATCTCAAAGCAGTGCACCACGTGGCGGAATTCAAGCTGTCGGGATATGTTATATATCCACTGCCAGCCTGGCACGGCTTAGGACACCAGGTCGCAGCGCCCAGAGTTCCATCCCATCTTCATTGCCCGGATGACAAAGAATATTCAAACCAGAAGGACGGAGCGTGGCTGCACTGCACCACCCAGTATTGGAGGGAATCTCAGGAGTGGCCTCCAGAATGTACCATGTGGCAGTCGGCAGCCCCTGTAGTCTCTCAATTCGCTTTTCGGACTTCCTGTCGGGCAGACATCACGCCCTAAGTTCACTCTTCCAGGGCTCATTTCGACTCCTCCGATTCGTTTTGATTTGACGTCGATGGCTTCCGATTCCGATTCGATTCGATTGCAGATTCGACTTATCCCGACTCGGCTGCCGATTTCCGCCGATCCGATGAGTTTTGACCGCCGATCCGACTTATCGATTCGATTCTGGGCTCTCCTGCCTTTCTCTCGCACTCACCTCCCCGCCCAGCGCTGACTCTTCAATACTCCACACTCCACCCGCTGGCCCTCCTCGGCACCACCGCCACACCGTGCTGCCACTCACCTTTGTTTTGCTGTGGCCTTAAGTCGGGTCTGTCCCCTGTACAGGAGGACTCTTCAGAAGTAGTCCAAAATAAGTTGTCTGGGGTCGTTGTTTTCAGTATGTTTGTCTACGTTTGAGCATCGTTGGGCTATGTTTTTTCCTCCCAAATCTGCCTGTAGGAGGACATGGCCGGCCTAACTCATAGCCTGGCCGCCGCAGAACTGCTTGTCGTCAGCGCAATCGTCCGCCACCAGCCCTTTGGCATCGCTCAGCTCCTGGGTGTCTCGACCCGTCCTTCCCCCAGGGCAGGCTCGTCACCCCGTGGTCGCTCTCTGGACCTCCCCCCCCCGAGGCAGGGAGGCGTGTCTCCCTGAGGCCGGAAAGACGGAAAGCCAGCCGGCCCATTCGTCGTGGGCCCGAAACACCACCCAGGGGGCCGAAAGCCACCAGCAAACACAGCCGGTCCATTGTTTTGCGCCGCCCGCCGACCGCCGACGACTTGAAGGCAGCCCGCCGGTGGTCTGCAGGACGAGGAGGACGAGGAGGAGCAGGAGGAGGAGGAGGACGAGGAGGTGGCGGAAGGAGGAGGAAGGGGAGGAGGAGGAGGAGGATGAGGAGGAGGAGGAGGAGAAGCAGGAGGAGGAGGAGGAGGAGG